GGAAAATGAGTAACAGTTCTTTACTAGTATACATATATAAAATAAGGCAAACAAACAACAACAGCAGCAGCATAAACAAACAGAAGCACAGCCCCAGCCCCAGCCTCAAGCACAGCCCCAACCCCAGCCCCCAGCACAGCCCCAGCCCCAAGTACAGCCCCAGCCCCAGCCGCCGGGCAGTGGCCGCTCGGCTCCCGAACAGCGGCGGGAGAGGCTCCCTCGGAGGGGGAGCAGGCTCGGGGATCCCAGGGTTTGTCCCGAGGCACCCGAGTAGATGGTGAGGGTCCTTTGTGAGGTGAGGCGGGTGTCAATAAGGTCCCAGCTCAGTGGCTGCGGTCACGAGCAAAAGCCTCACCCCAGGGCAGAAGAAGCAGGACGGGGCTGGGCTCCTGCAGTGGCAGCGAATTCCCACCCCAAGCAGCAGCTTCAGCCTTCCTCTCCGAAGCCGAGAGATCAATCGAGCTTGCTGCTGCCCCGGCCCTTTCTTTTACCAGTCCAATTCCTGCAGTATCTCTGCCCCTCCGAGAGAAATTCTCAGATAAGAGAAACACAGCCAGATGCCCTTCTCTCCCCTGAGCTTGGCAATTTCTTTTGCCCTTCTTAAGTACCTGATCATTATTGTTTCTTAGGGAAAAAAAAAAAAAAAAAAAAAAAGTGGGGGGGGGGGGAGAATTCCCTAAGAGAAAATAAAAACAAAATGATAACCCAACATGCTATTATAAACAAATCACTGTACAAAAATGACAAAGTGGAATGGTGGAAAGTCGGGAAGCGCTGAGCACTGACCCCTCAGCATCTTCTTTTACCCCTTTTCTGTTGAAATGTTGGGAAATATGTAGTGTTTTTTTGAATTAAATTCTCATTTCTTTCTGATCACATAAGACCAGGGTCTGGTTCCAGTACAAGAGAGTCTAAAGGGCCACGCTTAGAAGTTACTCACCTTCCTGCCACAAAAGAGGGAACAATTCCAAGCACAGACCAGAATTCTCTGTCCAGACTTGGTTGACACTTTCCCCAGTGTGATACAGCTTGAATTCTGCCTCAGTAAGGAGGTAAATGCTGTAGCAAAAGAATATTGTTTTTCAAAACTCCTGTCAAACAGTAGATGCTGGATTCAGAAAAAACCACACCCTTTACACATTACAGCATGATGTCTCATCTTGAAAAACCCTTGTCCTACAGTCAGTCTGCTGTTGGCTTTAAGCTCACAACTGTGGGCCATGTTCCTCTTTACTCTTTTTTACATCTCAGCAAACTCTCGTAGTGCATGAGGAAGGTTTCATCCATGACTCATGGTATGCCATTCATTTTCTCTACTTGCTTTAGTGCTTTCTGTCCTGACACTGCTGGAAACAATTTTATTCAATGAAAGATGAAATTCAGGAGCAGAACTCTGTGGTGAGATATGAGTACTTCTTCCAGACTTGGACTCATTGCTAGCAATTTTTTGAGCACTAATGCTGAGGCCAAATTGAATTTGGACTGATAGGAAAATGTTATGTGATATATGTTCAATCCTTTCTCCTTCCTGAAATTAATGACAATATCTGAGACAATTAATGAAACACTGTCTGGCTTTTTGAGCAAGGTGAAGAACATAAGGCAGAGGGGGAGTTAGGTGACTACAGGAAAGCTAGAAATAATCCTATTCAAGACATACAAATAAAAGAGTGTAAAATGAGAAACGGGAGAGCATGACAGCAACTGCTGAGAAACAAAAGCAGTTAAGAAGTAGCACTGGAAATCCCATATCTCCAGATTCATGAAAATGTCAGAGTCATTATGAAATCCCAGAGAGAATCAGAAAATTTGTTACACCCAAATGTACAGGAAACTGGTCAACGAATGAGAAGGTGCCCTGCATCAAAGGGTACACAGGGTTTCCCTTTGTCTTTATTATGTACTAGAAGCAATTCCTTAATTTATCTGGTGGAAGAAACACTCCAGACCTAAACAGAGCCAATCTCTACTGTCTGTGTCTGACATCCCAAAAATTTATTTTTATCCTATGCAGACAGTCAGACATGTTGCAAGTGTCTTTGAGCTAGAGCTTCAATAGTGAACCCAGGGCTCTTCCAAGTTCCTGACTTTTTATCAGGGTGGGACCTGTACCTGCAGCAGCTTCCTCCTCTGCTCCACCTTCCACAAAGGAAAAGCCTGGGAGAGTGGGCAAGGCAGGAGCTGCAGTGCAGTCTGAACAGGTTTCCAATCTGAATGCCCAGGAATGCAGCCCTTTTTTTTTTTTTTTAAACTGTTTTTCCATCCAGATCCAGATGAGGCTGGCACATCCCTATACCATCCCTTGGTCAAACACTAAATTATTTTGTCTTGGAATAACAAATCCATTCTACCTGCTCAAAACAGAAAGAGTTTATTGTAAAATTGTTTTGGGTAGCAAAGATCTGTCAAGGTCTCTAATAAAAAACTAATTGCTAAACATTAAGAGATGAGTCACCATATTGACCATGGTTCAATACCAAATCCCTATCATAGGAGGGATCCAAGAGGACCAGTATTTAAATAGATGTAAAACCACAAGTGAAACATGTGTTGCACTCCCTGGAAAACACAGCTGGTGAGTGGGCACTCAGCTTTTCCACTTCCCTTTCTTCCTTGATGCTTCCTCTCCCCATCTCACCTCCAAACCATTCTCTTCATTTTAGAAGAGATAGGAAAAGTGAACATACATATTCCCTTAACAAATGGAGATTGGTGTCAGGGATGGAATTGTGCAAATGTCCAGGTTACTGCTAAAGAAAGGGACTTTCTAAAAAAGGTAGAAAATATCAGGTATAATTATCAATGAATATTTCAGGATGTATATTTTGAAAAAAACCTTTACTGCAATACAGTTGATAGCAATACTATGAAAATACCCAGTAACACTAGAAGGAAAAAAAACCAAACCAAACAAACAGGAAAAAAAAACAACAAAAAAAGAGAACAAAACAAACAAAAAAAACCCCACACACAAAACCCCCCCCCAACCCAAAAAAACCACAAACCTCAACGACAAAAAAAAACCCAAACCAACCAACCAACCAAAAAAAAAAAAAAAAAAAAAAAAAAAAAGCAAACTAAAAAACCCCAACAAATTCCAAAGCACACAAATTCTTGAAACAAATTTTCTAAGCCATTTTCTCAACTTCATGAATAAAGGGGATTTACATCTGGTTTACATTATCAATCAAAATTAGGCAAAAAGCTTAAAAGAATTTGTAAAATATGAAAGATGCACAGATGATCACATCAAATAACAAGAGAAGTGAGAAAACCCAAAAATGCTTATGCAGAGGCTTTCAGCATTCTTAAAATATTTTTTCCTGTCTTAACACAAACAGAGTTTATAGCTGGTCTTCCACAAATTTGCTAGTGTTGGAAACTGAATAAAACCAAAAAAAAAAAAAAAAAAAAAAAAAAAAAAAAAAAAAAAGCAAACTAAAAAACCCCAACAAATTCCAAAGCACACAAATTCTTGAAACAAATTTTCTAAGCCATTTTCTCAACTTCATGAATAAAGGGGATTTACATCTGGTTTACATTATCAATCAAAATTAGGCAAAAAGCTTAAAAGAATTTGTAAAATATGAAAGATGCACAGATGATCACATCAAATAACAAGAGAAGTGAGAAAACCCAAAAATGCTTATGCAGAGGCTTTCAGCATTCTTAAAATATTTTTTCCTGTCTTAACACAAACAGAGTTTATAGCTGGTCTTCCACAAATTTGCTAGTGTTGGAAACTGAATATTAAAGAGAGAAAAAGTTCACTCTAAGTGGACGGTTTGATGCTCAGGGGTCTTTTTTTGGTTTGGTCGGGGAAAGACGGTGCTGTTAGAGCCGCCACGGACCGCGTGGGGCAGCAGCCGGGGCAGGAGAAGGGGCTGGGGCTGGGGCTGGGGCTGGAGCCGGTCCAGCGGCGGGTCGGTTACAGTTTGCAGCCAGGCGCCAAAATTCAAACCACGCGCTGTGCTGCGCTGCAGCTCCCGAGCGCGGCTGGAACAAAGCGCAGGAGGCGGACGGGGCAGGATCCATCCTCCCTGCGAGCAGCGCCCACAGCACCCTGGGATTTGTAGTCTCTGCTCTCGCTTCCTTTCCCGATTCGGGCAGAAAGCTGAATTTCGCGCTGAGTCGCCCATCATATCATCAGATCCCACTGGCAGCGCCCTGCCGGCAGCGGCCCTCATACCTCACAACCTAGAGAGGCTGTGCCTTTCAGAAAGTGCACGGGAGTGATCTGTCTTCATTTTAGCTGTTACTCATAAACACCCCCGGGGAACCCACTGCTGCCCACCACTGCACGGACTGCTGTGGAAATTCCCACCCTCGGCTCTCGGTAGGAGGCGGAGGTGAAGGGACACGCAGCCTGTCCCTGGAGAGGCGATGCCCGAGGAGCTGGGACAGGCATTCTGCTCTCTCACACAGCCAGGACAAATAGTTTTGCATCAGATGGACATTTTGAGGAAAGTGCATTCAGGTGAAAACCTGTGATTTATGCAGTGATTGCTAAAGAGACTTACAGCTATTTGCCCACATGGATATTGAGCATCCAGAATTCCTGAGTTTATTCCAAGGTTTTCCATTTTGAGGTGTATTTGATACTAGGATTTCACATGAAGATTGTTTTAGTTCTATTTTGAGACCAAATAACTACTACCTACTGTTTCACCCTGGGTCCCTAAGTTTCCACATTGTATGCTGTATTTTCTTGCTGTCTTTCCTGTTTCTCTATCCAGACCCATACTCCCACCTTTGCATAATGCTCTTGCTACTTTTTCTCTTTAGTCTTCATATAGATGACAGACTTTTCAGTCTGTTTTTTCAACTTCTCCTTTTTCTCAGCCCTCCCTTCAGCTCCCTCAGCTGAAGGCACAAGACCAGGAACATCTTTTAGCAGGAACAGTGATCTAGTTTATACTAGTTAATGAACAAGAACTGACAGAATTTGGGGTTTTGGGGGAAAATACAACTCCAAATACTCAGGAACAGAAAACTTCTCAGTGAATTTTAGTTTGTACAAAGTCTGACTACGTAGCCAAAAAACATCACTCTTCAGGCACTCCTAAAAATATCAACCTTGGGGATGTCCAATCCATGTTTTCTCCATTTCAGCACATGCCTGGACCATGGCCTGTGCACAGCCGACAGCAAAGGGCAAAATCACGCACAGCACAGGCAGCTGTGGACGATATTTGAGGGAACTACAGTGAAAACACAAACACACCCTTTCAGGGAACCCATCAGCCCAGAGACCTGAGCCCCGCGGGGTATCCGGGCTGTTGCTCCGCCAGGAGGGAGTGAGGGTCAGTCCTGTTGGTCGCTCCGGTCCCTTCCGCAGTTGCCACCAAAACCTCTTCACTTCAGAACCGGCCCCACGTCCGGTTCTGTCCCTGAGGCGCAGCCCGAACCGCACCCGCGCGCCCCGACCGGGCGCAAAATGGCGGACACGGCTGCACCCCGCGGCCATCTTGGCGCCGGGACTGCATGTCCCAGGCGGCGCCGCGGCGCGAGGGGCCGCCCGCCCGCCATCTTAGCGCTCCCTCCCCCGGTGCGGCGGGATTGAATGAGTCGCTGCCCGCCCGCCCGCCAGCCCAGCGCCATGTCAGGCACTCCGAGCCGCGGCACCCCCGGCGGGACCCCGCTGTCGCCGACCCGCATCTCCCGGCTGCAGGAGAAGGAGGAACTGCGGCAGCTCAATGACCGTCTGGCTGTTTACATTGACCGTGTACGGGCACTGGAGCTGGAGAACGACCGTCTGCTGCTGAAGATATCGGAGAAGGAGGAGGTCACCACCCGGGAGGTACGGCCGGAGTTGGGGGCGAGCAGCGACTGCTCGTGTGACGGCCCCCGCCTCCGTCCCGGGGCGGGTCCGCGGCCCGGGGCTCGGCCGGCCAGCTGCCGCCCGTTCCCTGCGCGGCGCGGGGTGCGCTGTGGCGGCTCCGTGTGGCCGCCGCGCCATGCCCGTCCGCCGCGCGGGGAGCGGGGGCTGTGAGGACCCAGCACTCACCCGCGCGGCCCTTCGGGGAGGCCGGGGGCACTCTGGCCGCGGTGTCGCGCTGCGGGACTACTGGCGACACATTCAAGGCGGGATTCGGCACGGGGAGGAGCCCGTGCCGGTGGCGGGAGCGGAGCGGGGCGGACGCGGCGCTGCGGGCGGTATTGGCGGCTCCCGTGACGGCCGGGCTGCAGCGCGGAGCCGCTGCGGCTCCTTGGGCCGCGGGCGGGGCTCGGCCGGGGTCGCGGGCGGTCCGAGCCCTCCAATGCCCCGCGCCGATGGCACATGCGTCCTCTGGTACCGACGTGTTGGGTGTCCCCTACGGCCTCTGGTCTTGACTGCTGATGTAATGGGATGGGAGATTTGAAAGGGTTTAGACTGGCTTTGCCTCTGGCCGTAGGAAATCTTTTACAGACTCCGTAAATACTCGGAATCAAGTCCTTGTAAGCGACTCTGATTTGTTTCCTCCAGTTGTGGAAGCAAAACTGCATGATTTTTTTTTTTTTTTTTTGCTAAGCCTTGCTTTTCCCTGTTCTGTGGTGTCTGCTTTCCGCGGTACTGTCCTTCCGGAAGGATGTAGTCGGTGACACCCTGGGGACAGTCCCGTCCTGTGCAAGCCCAAACCCCCTCAGCAAGCTGCGGTGTCCCACCATTGAGATGATGTTAAGGTGCTGTGGGAAACCTATCAATGACCAGCCTGGACTGTAATTTCTGGGATGTGATGGATCGCTGTGCCACTGTGTAGCTTTTAAATTTTTTTTTGTCTTTTTTCCTTTTTTCACCCTTTGAGATGCTGATTTGATGGTGCTCGGGGTGTTGGGAGGAGGATTTGATTTAATTTAGTTTAAGTAGAGCAGATGTTATGATGTCTTATTTGGGGATGGTTTGGAGTACCTGCAATCAGTGTATGTATGCCCAAAGCAGAAGTACCTTTAAAGTCCCTTTGTATCACTTAATGATATATTGTAACTTCCATGCTTTCAAAATCGCTAGCTATTTCTAAGCATGAAACATCGCTTACCGTGTGAAATCATGCTATAAACAAAATAAACACATCTAATTTAGAGAACTTCTAAGCTGTAGATTGCTGGAGGCTAGAAGGAGTATCCCTTTGAAATGCGAGAGGCAGAATGTAATTCTATTGATGGCACATATGTAGCAAGAATAAGAGGACAAGGAGACAACATAGATATAATTTCATTATACTTTTAACATCAGCGTAAAACAGTTTGTAACTGTGTACTGTGTGAGCAATTCTGAAAAGTATTCTGATGCAGTAATCAGAAAATAAACTTGAGAATATTGATAGGAACCTTTTGATTACTTTGAGCTTTCTGCCTCTGGTTTTTTCATCCAGACTTCAAAAAGGTCTTAATCCTTAGACATAACAAACTTCTTCAGGATTCATCAGGCTCTTCTTTGGCACTGATGCTTTGGCTTGTCTCTGGACCACTTTTGTTAAATACTTTCCTCATCCCTTTAGAAGGTCTATTTATTCTTTATGTGTGTCCACAAAAGGAAACTTTGTAGTTTTGTTGTTTTAGTACTGGGTAGTGGACATTGGTTTAGGACTGTAGAAGCCACATAGTTGTCAGATTTTCTATTTACTGGAATGGGAGAATCCTCTCCTTTCACTTTCAGGACCAGCCTAGTAAATTGGATTTTCTGCTGACAATTCATCAAATTCCAACAATTATTAATTGTTGGAATTTGCATTCATAAAATTATTAGGCTTAGTGTGAAATAAGATATTAATTAAAAATAAACCCTCCAAATCCCACAACCTCCCCCAAACAAAACCCAAAGTGGCTCTAACTTCTGTGTAGAAGCACAGTTAAACATAGTCCAGTGTAATTTACATACTGTTCTCTCTGCATTATTAAATCTTTATCTATGTAAGCATCTAAGCTCTGCATGCTTCTAGGAGACTATTTTCTTTTTCCACAGTGTTCAAAATGAAAATTCCTGTTTGTTGTCCTCAACGGTGTGTAAATTTGAGTCTGATCTTATTTATTATTTATAAAAGCTAATTCAGTATTCTATTATTTTTGGCTTTTCTTTGGTAATGGCAGAAAACATCACCTGCCGCTGTGGTAGGCGGTATCATGCACATTGTGGGAAGCAGACAGGAAGGACTGCTCACCAGTGGGCTCTTGGTTACTACCCGAGACTTTTGCCTAGAGAGCAGATGATAGGGGTCCATGGTCAAAGCTGGATTTCTCAAGGTTAAGGATAGCTATGGCAAGCAGGATACAGAACCATGGTTATCATGAGAGAGGTGTTTGTTCTTTGCTCGTCACTCCAGTATCCCACAGGGACCATACCTGAGCTGGGTGAGACTGTTATTTACTGACATGACATGTCCTGAGTAATGGGTGACCATTCCTGACACCCCCTGCCCCAACCCTGCATGCATGGGAATGGTTTTGAGCTGTGCTCAAAGTTCTGGTTTAGGGTAGTGTCTTTTGGATGAGAGAAGTTCTGCTGATGCTGATCAGGCAAGGACTGTAGTCATTGTTCTGCCAGAGATTCTTTAATCATCAGCTGATCAGGATGTTCTTTTTCCTTGTTGTTTCAATCACCACCTTGAACAAGATCGCAGAAAGCAGGTGTTTGCTGTTTGTGTGACAGTCTCAGCATGGTCTTAGAACAATATAATTCCTGTTCTTTTTGATGAACACAGGGTTGCTATCTCTTAACAGCAGAGAAAAGGAGCTTTGCAGTTGATTAATCTTCAGTTCTTTATTAATTATAGCCTTTTTCCTAACCCTGTCCAATGCTGCTTTACTTGTATGCAGTAGGCACATAGACAAATAAAAAGTGTATACTGTAAGCCCTCAGACAAATGACAAAAAAAAGTTTGCAGATGTGGCTGAGGGAACCTCTAACTGTCCTCATTCCTTCTCTGTTTGCTTTCCTCCATCACTGCCCTTGTGTAAGTTAGCCTGTGACAGAAGAGAAATTGAGCTCATCACCTTGTTTTTCTACATCCTTAGTACATGACTGATGCTGTTCTCACTGTGTTGGGTCACTGTTGCAATAATCTGATTTGTGAGGCTGGGAGGGGACATACTGGAAGAGTTGATAGAACAGTCCTAGAGCTCTCCTCAATTGCGTTGTACTAACTCCCTACTCTCTCCTGCAGTGCGTATGGTTGTAGCCTTCTGGAACACATGTTTTGGTGGGGACAGGAGGGATTACTGTGCTCTTCAGAGGACACCCCACTGTGCTCACCCCCTCAAAGGAGAATTAGAAAAATAAGATCCTTGGGAGCCTCAGCTGCTGAGAGTGATTGCCCTTGTAACAAAAGGAGGATCTATGGGGTTCCCTCTTCACCCGTGTCTGCCCATCTCCGTGGGTGTGAGTGCAGGTGCGCTCACACCCCCAGAGATGCAATCTCACGTGGTTTCCTCTTACCTGCCAGTATTGGAGCTACCATGCCCTTTGTGTGCACCATGTGTGGTGACCAGAGCTACTGTCATGACCAGGATATGAGGGTTTGGTGTTGCCTAGTTGTCACCTGCAAAATACATGCTTAGATGCTTCTGTGGACGTTGGGTCACTCAAGTTGCATCCTCTGAAATACTGGGTTAAATGGTTTTCTAGCACTGTAAATGTCATCTTGGAGGTGACATAACACACATCTTCATTGTTCTTGAGAACTTGACTCTTGATACTCTTGGTGGGCCTGAACCACAGCTGACTGGCAGTCCTTTGTCAATCTATAACTGGCTAAATAAGAACATATTGAGCCACACTTGGTTGGAATACACTTGTGCTTTGCACATTAATGTATTCTTATGAGATTAATATTTCATCAGCAAATTTGTCTAGGGTCACTTGTCGTTGGCTGGAACATGTTTCTTGCCTAGCATCTTGGTTCAGTGCCTTCTTGACGTGTTTCAAGTCTTCACTGAGTGACATCTTGCAGCTTTTCTCAAGTGGGATTGCTTTGGGAGGGTCTGTGTCAGTGTGTCTGCCCTTGACCCACTGCCTAGTGAGCTTTGAACACTCCCAGCACAGGTAGGTGAGAGCATCCAGCAGTTGTGTCTTTCAGAGTCTGCTATGGAAGCACCTCTGTTTTCTTTTTCAATTTTCTTGTTCCCTGTGTTGCCCAGTTACAAACTTGCAGGCCCTTTTGCCAGCAAAAGGGGGTAAAAAAGTGAAAGCACATTTGTAGTGCAGTAAGAGTGTCTAGGTTGGCCTCTGTGCAGAAAGATTTACCCTTGGGAGCACATGGGCATGAAGTGAATTGGGCTGCAGCATGTCCTTTTGTTTTCTGCTGAACATTTTGGGGTTTTTCCGTTGCCTTCAGATGGGGTTTCCATTTTCACAGTTGAGGGACCCATTTGCTGGCCTAACTTGTCATCTGGGAAGGTTCATTGCTGCTTCCCAGGGCTTGTGTTCTGGACATGGTAGAGAGACTGCTGAAGCACACATGGCCAAATGAGTTTCATGCCTTCTGCTCTTCAACGAAGGGACCAGTGCTAGTGGCAAGAGGGACCTGAAGAGTATCAAACATAACTACATGGCTCTGGGTGATTGTTGGAGGTTAGGGGTGGGTTTTGTTTGAGTTTTTTTTTGTTTCACTTTTTGGTTTTTTTGTTTTGTTTTGTTGGTGGTGGTTTTTTCCCTTTTCTTTCTCTTACAGAATTTTTTTCCCATTTGCTGCTTAAGAGACTGGAACTATAGATGCTTGAGAAAGACAAAGGATGTGGCCAAGACGTGGGGAAGGGATGCAGCTGGCTGCAGTCCCTAGGGTGGGGGGCTTTCTCTTAAAAAGTGCAGAGACACTATGAGATTTTGGCTGGGGGCTCAGCTCCTCACTCGCTCTCGGTGTCAGAAGGCAGACAGTTGGGCTGCTGCTACTACAGGGAGAATTCACTGCCACCATGGAGTTCTGTCCTGCACTGCTGCGACTACCATGGATGAGCCTTTGCTTATAAGAGCTGCCATTGACCTGTGACCTTTTCAACACCTGACCTTACTGGGAAGGACCCTCATCATCTACTCAGGTGCCCCAGGGGAAACCCGGAACCCTGAGCCCCTCTGAGGGGGTCTCCCAGCTGCCGCTGCCCAGCTTCCCTGTTTTCTGCAGCTGCTTCTGGCTTTTTGCTACACTAAGGGACACCCAGGGCTACCTGACCCCTGCCTCTCCTGACACAGCTCCTGCGTTTTTGCTACACTGTGTTTGCCACTCTGGGTGTGCCTTTCAGCTGCTGTTCCAGCTTGCTGCTCTGAAGTTCTTGCTGCAGGTAATTCAGCTTCCCAAGTGGCGTTGAGACCAGCTGCCCACTGAGGGTTTGCAAAGGAAGCCCCTTCTCTCTCTCACCCGCCATTGCTGTGTGGAGAGGCGGCCGAGCTCGCGCCACAGCGCCCCCTGCAGCCGCGGGGGAATCATCGCACCTGCCCCGCCCGGCCGGGAGCCACCGGCGCCCCTGGCGGCTGTGCCCGGAACTGCAGCAAAGGGGAAAGTGCCGAGAGAGGCTGGGGCTGTGCTGGGGGCTGGGGCTGTGGCTGTGCTGGGGGCTGGGGCTGTGCTGGGGGCTGGGGCTGTGCTTGGGGCTGGGGCTGGGGCTGTGCTTGGGGCTGGCACTGACCCTGTGCTTCTGTTTGTTGCTGCTGCTGCTGTTGTTTGTTTGCCTTGTTATACATAAACATACTAGTAAAGAACTGTTACTCATTTTCCCATATCTTTGCCTGAAAATCCCATCATTTCAAAGTTATAATAATGTGGGGAGAAGAGGTCACGTTTTCCATTCCTAGGGAGGTTTCTGCCTTCCTTGGCAGACACCTGTCTTGCAAATCAAGACAATGATTGTCATCAGAGCCCAGGTGGTGTGGGGAGAGTGAAGGACTTGAGGGGATAGCCAAGCAAATCCTGCAGTGCAACTCTGGATTGCACAACTGCTGTTGGCAAGAAGGTTTTGGATTCTACAGCAAACCCCAGGTGCAAATTTCGGCTGGGTGGAGAGTGGATTGAGAGTCACTCTGGGAAGAAGTGGTGTTGGTGGGTGAGGGGCTGAACCTGCCCTGACCATTGGCACTAGCCCCCAAAAACCTGCTCTGTGATGGGCTGAGCCCCCATTGTGGGCAGCAGGGAATGGGGGGATTCTGCACCTCTGCTCTGTTCAGAGAAGCTATGGCTGCCCCATCCCTGGAAATGTTCAGGCCAGATTGAGGCTTGGAACAACCAGGGATAGTGGAAGGTGACCCTGCACATGGCAGGGGGTGGAATGAGATGGGCTTTAAAGTCTTTTCCAACCCAACTCATTCTTTGATTCTTTAAGGAACTGTCTTTCAGGATTCACAACTGCTTCAGAGAGACAGGATCCACCTGACTAAATGTCCAGCATACAGCTGGATAACCCTGTCACATGCTGGGTGAGGAACTGGCTCACAAGTTGGGCACAGTGGGTTATAGTGACAGAGGGACATCAGGCTGACATTGGTAACAAGTGGAGTTCTATGGGTCTCCAACCTCAGCCCATCAACATCTTCATCAATGATCCTTGGATGCAGGACTCAGAGGGATTCTAAGAAAGTTTGCCAATGGCACTAAATTGGGAGTAGCTGTCAACACCTGCAAGGGCAGAGAGGCCCTCCAGGGAAATGCTGACCAGCCAGAGATGGGAAATCACCAACCATGTGAAGCTTAATAAGGGGAAGTGCTAGATGCTGCCCCTAGGATGGGGCAGCCGTGGTTGTGTGGATGGACTGGGGAACGAGAAGCTGAAGAGAGGTTACAGAAAGCGACCTGAGGGTTCTGGCTGATGGCAAGTTGAATCTGAGTCAGCAGTGCCCTGGAGCCAGGAGGGCCAACCATGTCCTTAGGGGCATCAGGCCAACTGGGTGAGGGGAGGGATTGTGTCTCTCTGCTCTGCACTGGAGCAGCCTCACCTTGAGTTCTGGGGGCAGTTTTGGGCACCTCAGTATAAAAGACATTAAGCTAATAGAGAAGTGTCCAAAGAAGGGCCACAAGGATGGGGAAGGGTCTAGAGGGGAAGCTGTGTGAGGAGCTGCTGAGGGCACTCAGTTTGTTCAGCCTGGAGGAGACTGAGGGGAGACCTCAATGCAGTCTTCAACCTCCTCATGAGAGGCAGGTACTAGTCTGTACACTCTCATGACCAGTGAGGGAGGTTGAGGAAACAGTGTGGAACTGAGTCAGGGGAGGTTTAGCTTGGATGTCAGAAGGTTTTTTCCCAGGAGGTGGTTGGGCACTGGACAGGCTCCCCGGGGAAGTGCTCAGAGCACCTAGGCTGCCAGAGCTCAAGGAGCATTTGGGCAGCACTCTCAGGCACAGTGTAGGATTGTTGGGGTGCCCTGTGCAGGGCCAGGAGTTGGACATGATGCTCCTGACAGGTCTAACTCAGCATATTCTATGATTCTATGAAAGTTGTTCTGGTATCCTTTCACAGAAGCAAAAGTAGCAATCTTACATGGTCTGTACATTTTAGCTGTCTGATATAACTTTCAAATAATCTTGTCTTATAAAAAATATAAATGTATAGAAGACTTCCAGGTGCCTCATGCAGTCTGTATTACTGATTATATGATAGATTATTTTGGGACAGGGAGAAGTCTGTAGTTCTTTACCCTCTGAGATAGAGAACAAGAGTGGAAGCTCACTTCTGAACAGTTTACATTTCTTTAGTTCATGTGGTTTCAGACCCTTTGTAGCTTTGTAGTGGAAGAACAGGAGAGTCAAAATGGACCCTTGGGCTTGTATTCCACAAAATGTCTTCAAGTGTTTAAAAAAAAAAAAAAAAAAAAGATCTCCCAAAGCACCAGTATTGGGAATAAGGGCAAATAATTGAAGTTAAGATTGTATGGTGCACTGATCTAGTTTAGTTTATCTCTTGGGAAGGTTTGCACATTTCAAACATAGTATGTTTTGTTGCAGTAGTAATAAAGACTAAATATTTGGGTTGCTCATTAATTGAAAATGTTCAATATAGAATGTTCTTAAATGGCAGAAATCATATAATACATACTTTTTCAAAGAAACTTGTGTGTAACCTGGTCCTATGTTTCAGTTCTTTGTGATGTTCTCATACCCAAATACTTTTTTTCCCCTTAGGTGAGTGGAATCAAGAGTCTCTATGAGTCTGAACTGGCTGATGCTCGAAGAGTTCTGGATGAAACTGCCAAAGAGAGGGCTAGATTACAAATTGAAATAGGAAAACTGAGAGCTGAACTTGAAGAGTTCAATAAAAGGTGAGGAGGGTATTCAATTTCTTTTCTTTCGATTAGAATGGGCAATATTTGCTGTGGAAATGATACTAATGATGCTTCTTAAAACACCTCCTGGAAGGAGATCTGTGAGAAGATACAGGTTTGTCAGAGGGAAAATCCTTCAGATTGTTGGTACAGCTGGTCAGAGCACATAATTCCAGCAGTACATACTGCCCACAGGTGCATTTGTTAATGTAAGATGAATGTCATGTAATGTGAGACTCAAGCAAATGGCTGTACCTGCTTTGTCCTGTCATGCCTCCCCTTACGTGAACACACGTGTGTGCAGCTGCTTGGTAAACTAGATTGACAAAGAGACCTAGATTAAAATTGATCCATCCAAGGAGGGTTAATTAATGATTTTTATTTGGTCTGGTTCACTGTATGAGTGATGGGAGAAGTGGAAGAAAATTGAAAGGGCTAGCCCTGAGCAGTTTGGGAGTATGGAAGCAGTGTTGCCTTGAAAAGACATGAAGCCACAATGTAAATGTGCTGGGAGAAGACCTTGTACTGACTAAATTTTTTTGAACTGCTGTTCAGTTTGCATCACAGAGAATTGGCATAATAAACTCGTTCCTGAAGCCAAGTAGAATCCATTATTTCAGTTCCCAGGGGAATTATTTATAATCAAATATTGTTTAGCAGTAGAAACTTCATTTTAAAATTAATATATGTAGTGGGAAAATAAATTTTTGCTTCTAATTGAATTTTGCTGCCTATTTTAATATATAAGATTCAGGAATTACACATTTTTCCTGAGCAGGTCATTATGTATATCACCTGCTTATCAATGTTGTCAGCCATAAAATATCTGGCAGTGCCACTAAGGCCTACTGTAAGTCTCTCATCTGTCGTTTGCAGCTGAGTGGTTATAAAAGGACTTAAGTGTTTCCCTCCCCTGTCTTTTTTTTTTTGACTAGCTAGCTGATAAAGTATTTCACGTTTTCTCTGTAAATTTTGCTATATCCCTAGATACTAATTTTCTCTGCTTTTTTTGAAGTCAGCCATTGGAGATATTTTTTGAATTTGCCCTAAAACAACTGTCCAAACATGAAATAGTGATAGTGTAAGCATCTGCATTTGAGTCGGTGTAAAGTCTGTTGAAGCACAGCCAATACCATAGGCCTGCATGTGGTCAGGCAAGTGGTGTGGTGGTATTTGTGGACTTGGTTAGCTCAGCTTTTGTTAACCGTGAAAAACCCCTCTGGTAACCAGGTCAGCCAAAAAACCCCTGAAGTGCAGTGAGGTGAATCCCACCCAGCCCTACTGGGATGTTCCTGTTGGGACTGTTTTTCCTCTTCAAAGCCTCAGGCCAGCAGTCTTGGCATTTATTTTGGATAGTATATTTTGCATGGCAGTTGGCATCATGTGGACTTTAAGGTTGTCTCTCTCATCTTGTGATAGCAGGTACTCTTCTTGCTTGGCTTTTAAAGCAAACTCCATAGGAGAGCAGCAGTAGTAACTGGGAATTTGGTTCACCTCTCATATTTCTCTGTTTTGATTAAGGTATCCTTGTAAGAAGTATGTTCACAGGTAATGAGAATCCAGTTGATTCCTGTTCTTTAGACTTTTGATAGCCCTAAGAGATTGTACAAATACCATGTGGAAAATTGTGCATGTAAAGTGATGGAGATAGTGTTTTCCCTTGGATCACCCCCCTCATCCATTGTCTGGGCAACAGAGTTGCCCCTTACCAGTCACTTCAATAATGAATTCCATGAAACTAATTTCAACTTTTTGTTTGCTTGTCTTCTGTGATAGATGAGGGAAAAATACCTGGTTTTCTGGGTTTCTCTCTGTGTTCACAGGTCATAGCAGTAGAGTTGAATTCCTCAACTTCAGAGTTTCTTCTACTTAATTCCTTGCAGTCCATTGAGATGCTTATAATGTTCTTGGAGTGTTTGTGGTGTCTAGCTTATGATGTGGCCAGATTTTAAATATGACTCTTGTAAGTGAAACTTCCAATGTTTTGTCTGGTTTGCAATGTTCACTTGACATCTACCTCATTACTGAAGCTTCCCTGTCTATGCTGACAGTCAGGTGGTGCTTCTCTCAGTATTGTAGAGGCGGGGCCCTGAACGGGAATAATGAGCATTGACTCCATGATTGCAGAAGGCTGATCAAATGCTTTATTAAGCTATACTATACTGTACTACACTATACTATATTAAAAAACCCTTTGCCCTTGCCAGACAGTCCGATACACACATGTGGGACCAATTGGTCAATTAATCAAAACACCATCACCAGAGTCCAATTAAGAAACTACCTTTTGGTGAACGATCTCCATAGCACATTCCACATGTGCACAACAACAGGTGCAGAGATTAAGATAAGAATTGTTTTCTCTGGGTTTTCTCACAGCTTCTCAGGAAAATCTGTTCAGAGAATATGTGATTACCACATCTCAGACCAAACTTGCTTTGAGAACTGTGTAGTGGAAGAGTAGGTTATTGCATAGGTTTATATTCACTACTATTGCCTGTATCTCTCTTTCAAGCTCATAACAGAGGAGAGATTTAAGGATGCCAGCACAGTCTGGCCAGGAGTGATCCCAAACACTGCCATTCTGTTTCCTTGGAATAGGCTGGTTTGCTGGGACAGGAGATAATAGACTTCCCTTGCAACATAGGATCACAGTCAACCTCCTGGTTTATTAGCAGATTCCCCATTTCTTTTTTTCTCCCAAAGCCTGGGTTTGTGAGCATGGAAAGCTCTGAAGGCACTGAAGATACTCCAGGGAAGCCACAGGGTACAGTTGGAGGTGGTAACATCAGGTCTGGTTTGTGCCCAGAGGAGCCTGAGGCTTATTCTGTGTTTAGTTCCCTCCTGGGGCTGTCTACTTGCACAATTTCAACTTGTGAAGCAGCTGACCAACCTGCATCAAGAGCCTTGGATAGGACACAAGGATTTGAGACAGGGCCCGTGGTCCAGGAAAGAGCAAGGTTTTTTTGTTGATGTAATGGACTTCAGAGGAAGCCCTTCTGCTTATGTCTTTCTGTATCTTGTCCAGATACTGGCAGATAACACTACACCAGGGTTCCATGTGAGTGCAAATTCAACTCCCAGGGCTTGGATTCTGGTGCACATATTTGTTTAGTTTAGATTTTTTTTTCTCTGTGTTACCAATGTGGTAACATTTGCTGGAGGATTTTTAGTGTTTGAGATAATTGGATATAATTTTCTTTGCTAAGTCAACAAGAAGCATCCCAAGGCTTTTTCTAGAGTAGTTTGTTACCGCGGTGGTGGTAAAGGTGCCATGACCTTCCTGAAGAGCATCCTAAGAAGGACACTTCAGGGGCACAGGCATGTCCTTCTCCCAGCCCAGCATGTGATAATCAGCTCAGGCGAGGTGGAGAGACTGGAGCTCTGTATGGTGTTCCACAGTGGCCTTGATTAAAAGCAGGGCCCTCCGCGAAGGGAGCCCGGAATAGGGGCACGCCGAACCAGGGAAAACCAGGGATTTATATAGGGAGGGTGAGGGGTGGGACAAAGCCAGTAACCAATGGGATGTGGGCTCAGGGGTGGAGCATGAGGGGATGGACCAATGAGCAACAAGGGATTAACATAGAACTGCAAAGGCCTCTGGGGGTGATTTTTACTCGCCCTAACGTCAGTGGCTCAGGGGTTTGCCCTCAAGGGGAGTGCAGCAAGCCCTCCTTTGGCTTGCTCTTCGGCCCCCACGGTTTAAATTGGACCAAAGATCTACTTAGCCTGTTAATTGATCTCTGTTCCATTTGTCTAGAGAAAAGAGGAATGTAACACACATAGCAACAGTTCTCTGGAATACTCTTCCAGTCTTCAACAATTCCCTTCGGCTAAGGAACTTCCTGATGTCCAGCTGGATTCTATGAAATAGCCATCATGGATTTGCATTTCATAGTGTGACCGGTATTCTGAGACCAGCTGTTTGTGGAGTTCTTAGACATACCAAGGGGATTCTGAGTTTATCTACATATTGTATAAACATGTTGTTCAATCTGCCTGCCCAGTTTCATTTGTTCATTTATCCCTTTATTTTTGTATTCTCCTTCATATCTCCTAAGATTTTCTCTTTAATGATCTCTTTTTTTTTCAAGTGGAAACATCTTACTGCTTAGTTGCTTCTACACCTGAAGCTGCTTTGTGCTTTCAATCAACATTTTATCCTCTGTCATTTTTGCTGTTTTAGTGTATCCTCTTGGGAAGGAAAGCTGCAGAATTGGAACTTCAGTCAGTATTCAAGATGCTATTGTTACCATAACAGTGTTCTATGTCTTGTTCTGTATTTTATTTATGAATAATTTCTCAAGCACAGTTGCATTTTGAGTGCTTCTGAGCTGCTGATGTGTGAAGAAAGGTAAGCTCCAGGTAGTATTTTACATCAGACTCAGAGATGTCTCCCAAGACCCCAGTGAGTAGCAGGAGTGGTACAGAACTCAGAAGTGTTTTGTGATAATCAGATTTGCTGTGGCCTCTTTAGGCAGAGTAAGGCCCTCTTAGAGCCCTTCTGTGCAGGGTTTCTACCCCTGCTTATGCTCCTTGCCTTCCGTTACAAAAACCAAATTAGCTCTGAATTTTCAAATTCTTTTATGTTTATGCATATGCCCACTACTTTTCTTCATTGATGCCTTTGTCTAATTTTACCTGTGCAATCAGAGAAGGATTTTGTGGGGGAACTTTATCAAAGGCCTTACAGAATATAGACAGACAATATTCATAGCCCTTCCACGATTAAGTGACTCCATCAGTGGGCAAGGGAAGGCCACTAGGAGAAGCTGTACTGGATGTCTTGAATCATTTCCCTGTGCTCTGTATGTCTTTGCAGAGCTTTTGAGAGCATCTGTTCCATGATGTTCTCAGGTACGGAGGTGTGGCTGGCAGGTAATAACTCCTGAAGTCCTCCTTCCATCCTTTTGAAAAATGGGTGCAATGTTTCCCTTTTGCCTGGGCCTTCATCTGACTGCCGTGAGTTTTCAAATGTCGTGGAGAGTGGCTTGGCA